TCAAATGCATGGAATGCATAACTACTATACTTATTTCAATCAACAATGTACGCGGCCGAAATGAAACAGAGCGTATTATGATTGGCAATCGGAGCGTGCTGCAACATGGAATACCTCCTTCGTTTATAGTCGCGAATAAACTCACATTCGTAGGGTCTTAATTCCATCGTAACTAATTAGCAGATGCGCAACTCATAATCTGGTTGTTTTTCCTCCTATATATTCTGGATACTTGGCTCATTCTTTCTCGTGGAGGAAAGCACTCAAACCATGTAAGCTGCATTCCGTATAAGAAAGTCGTACGCGGGGATACGGCATTCTTGGCTTTTACGATTCGTATGGTCGATAAAATCGTGACTTGCAGCCCGACTTCGGCCCGTCGCGTCGGCCGGTGTCGACGTCGCGGTGAAAAAAAAGAAAGGAGTGTCAATGAGCTTCGATTTTTTTTTCGCTGTCAATCAAGGGAGCCTCTATTCTCGCCGCGATTAATATCCGGCCGTATCTAGGCCGGAGAAAGCAATTTCGAACGTTAATTGTTGAGAAATTATAATATAACTGGCCGTATGACTATTATTTATTATTACCATGGACGAAAAGGACAGTGAAGTATTTAAAAATTTAGCTAAATACAAATTTGAAAATGATGTTGGAGTATCAAAATAATTATGTAGAACGTCAAACTGGCTCAAATATTAAAACTTTTTGCAGCATTGCTTATCATGCTTGAAATTCCTACGTAATTTTTTTTATTTTGAGGCCAACAAAATTAGTTTTAAATATCTAGTTAAATTTTCAGATGCTTCAGCAAAACGTCCTTTTTGTATACGACTTATGAATAAGTCATTTTCTTTTCAGTATTTACGATTTCAAGTACACGAAGAATTCGCGTCGAATTTGAAGAATTCCCGTCGAAATATATTAACATCATTAAGTTGCAGACTCAAACACGTAGAATTGAGTGGATAAAATCGGACGCTGTTCAACTTAAAATGTGAATTATATTCATGTCACTTTAATAGAAATCGCAATGCTATAGAAGACTTTTCGACCGTCCAAGTTTTGTAAGTCAAAACTCGGCGATACTGTGTCGATGAAAACTTCCGTAATTTGCCAGTTAACTCGAAACTTTCCAGGAACATTCTATGCGCCTTACTAACAAGTTTCCTTCTAGTCGAATCTTCTTGAGTCTTTTATCTATAAGACAGTCTTAATATGTGAGACATTAAACCACTTCTTTTCAGCAATAAACTTATCGTCCATATTATCGTACTATCGGGAATCCTCTTTGGCGAAAATTGGATTAGACGTTTATTTTTGTAACTTGTTAATTATCGGTATTACAGAAATTAAATGAATTAGTCGCATGTTAAAATAAAATTAACTTGAAGTTCACAGACCTAGTTTTACTAAATGTATCTGCAAGGTTTAATTCATATAAGTAGCTCTTGAATTATATATTATAGTCCGAATACGAAAAAATTGTAGCAGCACACGGATGAAATTAATTCATTTCGCACGATTACATTAAAACCATTTCGAAATATGCCGATATATCTCCCTCCCTCCCCCCCCTTCGTACTCCAATTTTGTAATTTTTAACGACGGTGCCGGTATATTATACTGGTTGCGCAAATATTATACGTAGTAAAAAACCGCGTAACGACAGTATAATATAAAAAATATATAACGACAATAAAACAATGCCGTCGTATATAACGACAATGAAACAATGCCGAACTGTGTAGAGGTCTATATTTATAAGAGAGCAGTGTCTACCATGTAGAATCTAATACTATAAACATTGGTTGTAAGAGAAAAATGTAGTAAATTTTAATAAATACTTGTTTGAATAGTGTCGGTGGAATATTTACTAAATGTAAACATATATTTTTATACAAGAACTATTAATTTAATTTAACTGTTATTATTTTTTATTTAGCAAATATTTATTTTCCAAAAATAAATGTTATATTACTACTATTCAAACAGTTATTAAAATTTATTACATTTTTCTCCCAACATATCAACATATTAAAGAATTACTAAGTACTTATTGGATCAATTAGATCCAAGATGGCGATCAAAATAGTCAGTAGAGAAACTCAATAGAATAGCAGCCAATAGAAAGACGCGTATTGTCAACATTCGCTTAGATAAAAGAAATGCATTACTCTTATTAATATAGTTATGTATGAACTGTCGTTAGAAGTTATAAAATTGGGGTACTGGTATGCTCTCCACCGTTTCGAGCCTCAGGCGACAATAGTCAACGCGTTACTTCTTATCCCCGCGAGATTCGCGCTTCTGAATTGAATTACTCTCGATGGACCTTGACCGCCTCGAGATTGAAATTCAAAGTTGGATTTTCGGTAGCTACCATCAGATCGCCGTCGGATGATCCCTGCTAGCGAATGTATAAAATAATCAACGGCCTCTCTGGAATTCACGTAGTCCCTTTTTGGGATCGCGTAAACTCCGGAATCATATAAGCTCCCTGAAAATTCAAGTAATTCTGCTGTCTCCTGTCGTCACGGGAGAATACACAACAACGCGTGAAATGTTTTGAATAAATCAAATTATCGTAAAAAAGCTATTCAGTTTGTGCTTTTGCCTCAATTATTTTTTAACCGATCCTTTGATATAATGCCTTGTTTGCAGAAATTTATGTTTCTAAAAAATTTTACTGTAAAAGATAGTGAACGATAGATCGGTGTTATACTAGATATCCCTAAATTTGTGAATCAAAATACTATAATAAGAAAGTTCTCGGAAAGTTAAGTAAAAAAAGTTATTTGTACATTTTTATTTTAAGTAGTAGGTTTTTAAGATAATTGTATTAATCAAATTTAATATAACCAATTGCAGAACTGCGTTTAGATAGCCATTTTGTCTATGAGTCGTGTGATATAGTGTTAATGAGCGTTGTACTTCAGTGCGTTCACTAATATTTTTAATTCTCCATTTAATTTAGATTTAACTTGATAATATAATAATAATTAGATTTAACTTGATAATAATGTAAAAATTTTTATAGCTATGATTTTATTTATTAATTTCTAAACTGATGATTTTGTAATGAGTAACTTTTAAGTTACTAAAGTTACTATTTCAAAATCATCAGTTTAATGATTAATCATGGCTATAAAAACACAATTCTTACATCAGGCTAAGTAAGGGTAAATTTAAATTACAAGTTGATCAGAAAATAAGAAACTTAATACTCACAAGTGACCGTTTAAACTGTAATATTTAAACTCTCCTGCCATATTTAAACTCTCATATCTCAAAAACTACTGCTTAAAATAAAAATTTCATAAATAATTTTTTTACTTAATTTTTCAAGAATTTTCTTGCTATAGTGTTTTGATCCACAAATTTCAGAACACCCTATATATTTCACAAAATCGTTTCAATGCAAAACTAGCGATAAACGAACGAGAAAAAAGACGAAAAAGTCCTAGATAGAACTGGACAAGATTGATTTTACTCGAATGTTCTCAGTTCGAACGAAATGTCAGCGTTTGACTTTTCTTACGAGCGGGAACATCGCGAGTGGTGAATTCTTTTGGTCGACTCACAAGCACGGGAAAACAATTTCTGTGTCTCGATTCATCAAAATTAATCCCTTTTTAATCTCCATCAAGAACAAACTCGTATATCGAAAGCAAAATCCGCGTTGTTGAGAGTAGTAACTTTATCAACAACGGCAGTACGCGATTCTTACGATCATGAGCGATCTGCGAATATCGCATCATGGGTGCGACCTTTTCAATTTGTATTCTAACCTTTACGAGAAGCGCTATACACGTCGTCTTTGTGTGCTCAGGATGTAAAACAACGTTAAAACATAGACACACCGCACGTATAACGCACGATCGAGCTATAAATAGACGTTCCCATATAAAACAGCGGACTATCAAAGTTACGTTAAGAGACAATGAGTTTTTTTATGATGTTCCTATGAAAAATTAATTGCACAAAATTATAATTATCGGTTGTTCTAATTTCTATTATTTTTATCGAAGTTCTAATCCTAAGTAAATTGTGTTTTATTTGAGTGTCGTGACTGATTGTCTGACATGTTCTTGTCGCTATATTGCTTTATTGTTTTTAGTAAGCAATAAAATATAAATTCATCTATAAAATTAATAGATAATTGATAGATAATTAAATTCGATAATTTCGAATTTTCTTTTAATCAATTTCACTGGTCCACTAAATATTATTTTTAAAAGTTTAAACTTTTTAATGAAAAATACATACATGTATATATTTATTTCGAAAGACGATTAATGATTCTTCAATAAAATATTAAAATATTAATTAACTATTAAATTGTTAATACACAATCATTAAAATATAATGAATATTTTGAACATTTAAAAT